TTTAGAGTTGGAAAGACCTCAGCAACCATCTTTAGTCTAACCTATACCCAAAAGAAATCCCCAGTATAAAAAGGTACAGGTAGTCATCCAACCTGTGGTCGATATGTCGATATGGAATATACATATAGAAAATGGGGCCTAGAGCTCAGAAGAGAGGGCAAGGTGTGGAGCAGGGGTGGGGAACCTGCAGCCTCAAGGCCACAGATTTTGGTCAGTTATCTGCATAGAGTTGATAGTTAAGCCCTGGAAACAAATAGATTGTCAAAGGAGAGAATGTAGAGAGAAAAGAGAGTGGAGGACAGAACTTGGAAAATTCCCACCTTAAGTTTTGAAAGAAGATGAGGAAATGATGGGCCTCATCTATAGTACCTCAGTACTGATATTCTGTATCTGTCTTTGTATCTCTTTGCCAGGAGCACTATTCCGTACCTTTTCTTCCCATCTCTGTTCTGTCGCTTTCCCCTCCTGATGGGCTTCTCTTCCCAATTACATGCAGCTTTGATCCTTGCATCCAGATATTCTAGACATCTTAATTAATGGTAGATCCAGAAGACCTATCCCTCTGTATCCTCCATAGAGCATTTACTCAGCAGACTGAAGGAAATGGAAAGCTTTCCTCTGGTTCTAGTGCAGCACTGAGGCTGTCCGTTTTTATTCCTCACACTTGATACTTACTACATGATGGGCCTCCCTCCTTTTTGAACACATGTCCTCAAGGGTGTTTTTTCCTTTTTACACATAGTAGTCTACTTATACCTTCCATAGATCTTCCCAGTGCTTTGCAGGTCACCTGGAATTTAATTTAATACTTCTGAAATCTTGCTCTTCTGTGCTTTGTTGCCAGATAGGATCATTACTTCATTTAGCTACGGGTTGGAACAGATGGTTTCTGAGCTTGCTTCTATCTTTGAGATTCTGTGACAAGGAGAATATTAGTACAGGTGACAGTTGAAAGCATCGAAAATGGATAGAGCACGGGCCCTAGAGTCAGGAGGACCTGAGTTCAAATTTGACCTCAGACACTTGACTTTAACTAGCTGTACAACCCTGAGCAAGTCACTTAACCCTGATTGCCTTGGGAAAAGAAAGCACTGCACAACTTCCCAAATAGAATCCAGTCCTCTTTCTTCCGTTTCATTACTGGATCCAAGTTTATTGTTCATCAGTAGTCAATGGGCTTTCTGCCAGACTACTGCCATAATCTGAGCAGTGACGGTGTTTTTTATCCACTAATGTAGATGTTTGGGCTGATCTCTGAGTGGTAGTAGGTGTCACTGTCATAAACAGCTTCATTGGAATAAATGAAGTATCAGCCTCTCTTCCTAAAGATGCATGATTTGGATCGTTTCCTATTTCTCTTGAAACCCAAATCAGTTAAATTAAGATTTTCCTTTTTTAAAAATATACTCTCTTACACTTAGAGCCTTCACACATTATAGTTATGGAATTGCTTTCATTGTGCTTCTGCTTTAACCTCAACGAATAAATGAAACTTATTGACCTTTTTCAGGGATCATTGACTTTGATAGCAAAAGGGTTCCTTACTGCTGCCATTGGTGTGCCATATCATTTCCCAAATTGTTGTCTTGGTGCCAGGCTTAGTACTTTCGGGGTTCACAAAATCCTGTTCTTCAACCTAACTTACCCAGTTATTCCCAGGAAGACAGAGCGTGGGTTTGGAACCAATCTTGATTACTAAATGGTGTTCATCTAATACTTCCTGAGTACCTTCTGTGGGAGATGAATATGACTGTTGCTACCCTTTAAGGAAATTAAAAGTTGAATGTTTTCAGTACATAAGAGAGAGCTAAAATGCTGAGTTTGGAAGACAGAGAAATCATTCCCCGCTGGAGGAAATTAGGGAAAGCTTCATTAAGGAGGTAGTATTTGGTCTACTTGTCCTTCACACATGACATTCTATTTCTCACCTCTATGCTTTTGTACAAATTATCCTGTGTCTGGAATGCCCTACCTCCTCATTGACACATTAGAACCAAGAGCATCCTCTTTCAGAATTCAGCTCAACTGTTACCTTCTCTGGGAAGCCTTTCCTCATTCTTTCTAGCTGCTCCCCTGGAAAACAAAACAAAACTAACCTTGTATTTACTTTGTATATCTTTTGTATCTACTTGTATTTATTTCTTCCTCTCTCAATCCCTTGACTTCATTTCCATTATTTCCTCCTTTACTCCGTTCTCTGGCGCAAACCTTCCACTACATGTACCTTTGATTCCATCATCCCTTCCCATCTTCTCTATAAAATTGCCCCTACTATCTCATCTCCAATCTCACCCTATCTACCATTTTTCAGAAACCTAAAGATACATTTAGGTCTTCTTGATCCTTAAAAAACCCTTACCATACCTGAAAGCTATCATCCTATTTCTCTCATCCCTCTTTGTCAAATTCCTTGAAAAAACCATTCATACTTAGTGCCTTCAATTACTCTTCTCTCATTTTCATCTAAATTTTTTCCATTTGGGCTTCCAGTCTCATCACTCAACTGAAGTTACTCTCTCCAACATTGCTGCAGATTGTTAATTGTCAAATGTAATGGCTCTTCCCAGTCTTAACCCTTCTTGACCTCCCTTTAGCCTTTAACGCTGTCCAGCACTGCTGGAGAGACTTCTCCTATCTTGGGTTTCCCTCCCTCAAACCCATTCCTTCCAAAGTGCCCTGTTACTGTTAAGGGTTCTACTGTCCTTCCAGTCACCCTGATTCATAACTTCAGCATTGAGTTCATAACCTTGACATTCCTCTTACCCTAAATATCCAGTCAGTTGCCAAATCTTGTCATTTCTGTCTCTGTAACATTTCTTGCATACTCTTCTATCTATTCACATAACCACCATCCTAATTGAGGCCCTCATCACTTCTCACCAGGACTATTGCAATAACCTCTTAATTGGTCTCCCTTCCTCTATTCATTCTCTCTCTCTCTCTCTTTTTCTCTCTCTTTCACACACACACACACATTCTCTCTCTCTCTCTCTCTCTCTCTGTCTCTCTCTCACACACTTCCCAGTCCATCATCTACACAAATACTAATGTAAATTCCAGCATTCCCACTCAGTAAACTTCAATTGTTACCTCTAGGATTAAATGTAAATGCTTATATTTAGCATTTAAAGCTCTTCAAACCCTGGCCCCTTCCTCCCATTCTGCTCTTACCCTTTACTCTCCTCTAAGTAGTCTACAGTGCAGCTATACTGGCTTGCTCACTGTTCCTCACCCCCATCTCCACACCTTCACACTGGCTGACTGGCATGTGCTTTCTCCTCACCTCTGCCTCATGGGAGTCCCAGTTTCCTTCAAGACTTTCTCTGTGAAGCTTATCCAGGTTCCCAGTTGCTAGAGTCCTCCCTACCTTCCTTCCTTCCTTTCAGAACTTATTTGTATTCATCTTGTATATATTCTGTAAGCATGTATGCATACAGATTGTCTCCCCTGTGAAGTATAAGCTCCTTGGGATCAGGGACTGTTGTACTTCTGACTTTGTAGTTGCAGGGCTAGCACAATGCCTAGTACATAGATGTTTAACGAAGACTCATTGATTGATATTTAGATGTTGTTTTCACTGATCACTGTGAGCTCCTTGAAGACAAGGACTATTTCATTTTTGTCTTTGTCATCTTGAATACCTAGCACAATGACTGGCACATAGTAGGCACTTTAACAAATGCTAGTTGATTGATCTTGTGATGGGCCTTAAGGATGGGTAGGATTTTGGCAGGTGGAGGTGAGAGAGGGAAGATATTTCATAAAGAGAGAAGAATGTGAGCAGGGTCTCAGAATTAGAAAACCTACAAATATATTTGGGGAGTGAAACATAGTCTGATTTAATTGGAAGGTAAGTGAAGGGAACCTACCATCTTTCAAGTGATTCCCTAACATATAGGTGACTAGAAGCCACAGGTAAACTCCTTGACATACCTCTCCCCCTACCCTCAACCTGAGGTTGTGGCTGCCAGGTCCACATGGAATGGAGAGTGTAATCCAGTCTGTAGGCACCAGGAAGACAGCTGTGAGTGAGACAGTAGGGAGGGTTTGCTGACTCATGTGTGATAAAAACCATGGTTTTCTCTAACCTTTGTTTGAAGAGTTGAACTACAGCTGGAAAAGACAGTAGGCTGGGAATGGAAGACTGGTTGGAATTTTAGAAATGACCTTTTATAAAAAACCTGGACAGGGTATGAGGGGTGTAGGACTAGAAACTGCATTGTACTGTCATAGAAGTCCTAATCACTCATCAGAAAGTGCTCCACCCCATCCCTGGAGGGCAATTTGAAAACCTGCACAAAAGTACCAAAGAAATACCTGGGGATGTACCAGGATAGCTAAAGGGTAGAACTGGGCTTTCTCCAGGCTGATTAGGGTTTGATTTTACTGGGGCCCAAAATGGTTTATGTGGAGTCAAAGAAAGTTCTTGGAGGTTATAAAATCCCAGGAAAAATGAATAAGGGGTAGGGATTTTCTGTCACCTTTAGTTTCCATCTCAAATTCCACGTCAACTCTTTTGTCAGTAGAAATCAGGTCAGGGATTAGGTGTTTTTTTGGCTCGTTTTGGGGGCTTGAGGTGTGGGGTCAGTTAAGTTTTGTTATATATATATAGATTTCTTGTTACATTTCCGTTCATCTTAGGATATCAGATTCCAACTGCTCCCAGAGGAAATGTGCTATGGTGAAAAGAGCGTTGGACTTATGGTCAGAGTTCTAGTCCTACAAAATCTGAGTTCTAGTCCTACTTAACCAGCTTTATGACCTTTGATAAGTCACTTAATCTGTGTGCCTCGGTTTCTCATCTGTAAACAGAGATAATATTTTTACTCCTGACCTCACAAGATAATTGTGAAAGAACTGCTTTGCAGCCATAAATACTGCATATATTTGAGCTGCTATTGTAATTTTGGTGACAAGTGAAAGAAGGTAAGTCTCCATCCCGTTCTTAGAGAGAGTGATTGGAATGGGTTTACATTGTAAGTACCTAATTTCTTTTTCAGGACTGCGGAGAAGCTGGGAAGCCCCCTTCCCCTCCCCCCCTTCCCCATCCCCACCCCACCCCACCCTAATATTTGACCATGACAAGCAGAGGCGCAGCTCGGCCCAATGGCCAGCCCCAGGCTAGCAAGATCTGCCAGTTCAAACTCGTCCTGCTGGGGGAGTCCGCTGTAGGCAAGTCTAGCTTAGTGCTGCGCTTTGTCAAGGGGCAATTCCATGAATACCAGGAGAGCACCATTGGAGGTAAGTGTTGGGTGAAGCCCTTGGTAGAATATCTAGAGATCCTAGGGACTAGGCTGAATGACTTAGTATAAAAGCATTTATTAAGTGCTTCACTGAATAAACATCTGAGATGGCTGAGCCTGCCATCCAGCTTTAAAATCTAATTAATCATTTATGGTTTAAGACTTGATGCTTCTTTGAAGAAGATAATAGACTTTCTTTCTTCTTTCATTAGATACTTTTTCTTTTGACTACCTGTAATCTGGGGTTAGAAGTAGGGGGATCTTGATACAAGATGACTCCTCTACTCAGTAAACTTCAGGGGTTCCCCATCACCTACAGGATCAAATACAAAATTCTCTGTTTGGAGTTCAAAGCCATTCCTAACCAGTCCTTACTGCCCCTGCCCACACGTCCCCCTCACCCCCACCCTGAATTTTCTCTGACTGTCCTTTCAAGACCTAATTAAAATCCCACCTTCTACAGAAAGCCTTTTCCCAGTCCCTCTTAATTTTACTGCCCTACCTTCCCTCTGTTAATTATTTTCAATTTAACCTGTATGTAGTTGTTTAGTGTCTCCCCCATCAGATTGTGAGCTTCTTGTGGGCAAGGACTGTCTTTGTCTTTTACCTTTCTTTGTATCATGAGCACTTGGCACAGTCACTGGCACATAGTAGATACTTAATAAATGTTTATTGATTGACTGACACAAGTGCTTATCACTCACATCAATTTTGTGAGGAAAGTGGTATGTAAATCGTAACTGTTTCAGTTTATCTTCTTCTCCACCCCACAGTTCCTGGTAGTTCATCTATTAAAACTTCTGGGCAGAAAGAACTTAATCATACCCTGGAGGGGTTGTTGTCTGTCCAGCTTATGAATAAGAGAAACATATGGAAGCTGTGGAAGAGAAAACCCAGTCTTTCCCTGAATTTGAACGACACCTATGCTTAGAAGTGCTAAGTGTAATGGATGGGGGAGAGGGTTTCCCAGCCACCTCCTCATTTGCTGCTTTTTCTGTTCTTCTCCCTTGGCCCTCCCTCCTCCCCCCCTGAATTTTTTTTCCACAGCCGCCTTCCTCACACAGTCAGTCTGTCTGGATGACACAACAGTCAAGTTTGAGATCTGGGACACAGCAGGACAGGAACGATACCACAGCTTGGCACCCATGTACTACCGAGGTGCTCAGGCTGCTATTGTGGTCTATGACATCACTAACCAGGTAAGTGATGAAGATAAAGTTCCCCGATTTTGGAATTTTGAGAATTGGATAGTCAGAATTTTGAATCTAATCTATATGGGCAGAGCCTAGGACAAGGTACTATAGGAGAACATAAAAGAAGAATAATAGCTTACATGTATATAGTGGTTTACAGCTTACAGTCTGCTCTTCTCACAATAACAATGTGAAGCAGGTAAGATGAATATTATCTCCATTTTACAGAATAGGAAACTGAAACTCAGAAGGTTAAGTGACTGCCTAATTATGAAGCTAGCAAATATCAGAGCCAGAATTCTTAAGTGTATTGTTATTTCCACTATATTTTCAAGTTTAGTTGGGAAAACAAGATATACATATTTGAAGTAGCTTACCTGTACTGTAAAATCTCTGGACACAAAGTATATAAGTATATAAGAGGAGTTAGCACTCATGTGGTTTCAGGGAAGAAAGTCTTCCAGTCAGAGAGGAATTTGGAAGGTGATGGACATGAATTGGCAGAGGAGTTCAGAATACACCTCCTTTGGGGCAGCTAGGTAGTGCAGTGAATAGAGCTCTGGCCTTGGAGTCAGGAGGACCTGAGTTCAAATCCAGCCTCAGACACTTAACACTTACTAGCTGTGTGACCCTGGGCAAGTCACTTAACCCCAATCGCCTCACCATAAAGCAAAAAAAAAAAAAAAAAGAATACACCTCCTTCCCCACTTTCCTCTGTTTCCCCAGGAAACCTTTGCCCGGGCAAAGACATGGGTGAAAGAACTGCAGCGACAGGCCAGTCCCAGCATTGTCATTGCCCTGGCAGGAAACAAGGCTGACTTGGCCAACAAGCGCATGGTGGAATATGAAGTAAGGGGGCCCGGAGAGTTCCTTCCCAAGAGCTTCACTTCTCCCCAAGACAATTTGTTCTCATCTCTTCCTTTTCTAGACACTTCTTCCCTTCACATTTCAGCACTGAGCCAAATATAGCAGACTAACACCTATAAGAATTGGGGGATTTGTGAATTGTTGGGAAATGTCAGAACCACGGGTTAGAGGGAAATAGGAGGATCAATATGAAGAGAAGAAGGAAGGCGGGTAATTTAGTAGATGAGGTTTCCTAAGTTTCAGGGTCATCTCAAGTTTCTCAACTTATCCATTATCCCTTACCACCACTTGTTGGGTTTCGTAAGCATCTCTGTGTCCAAGAACATGAATTTTGAATCCTGTAGATGATATTCTTCCCTGCTGGAATAACTAACAAAATGGTCCAGCAAGCTGGAGTGGGATAGTAGGATTGGTGTGAGTTAACTAAAGGGAAGGAACCATGGGTACTGCCTAACCCTGATGCAGATATGGAAATGCAGCTCTACATTCTGAACTTCCAAATGCCTTACCCTGATCCTTTGCAGGAGGCCCAGGCATATGCAGATGACAACAGCTTATTGTTTATGGAGACGTCGGCCAAGACAGCCATGAATGTGAATGACCTCTTCTTGGCTATAGGTAAGGGCAGGATAACCCAATGTCCTTCTTAACTTCTCTTCCTTAGTCTCACAACCAATTAGCAGCAACCTAAAGTGCAGGGATAGCTAGATGGCAATGTCTTAGGATGTTAGGTAAGGAAATTCTTTAGCCAGCTTTTAATAGAAACTTCGTGATGGAGAGTCCTTTGTGGTATCTGGTCTCTCCTTTTAATTGTGGTCTCAGCCCTTTTCTCCTTGGCCCCTGACTGCAGTGCAGTTGGAGAATCTTGACCTCCACCTTCCTTAGAACATTCCACTGGTGTCCCCTCCCCACCAAGACTTTCTCTTTTTGAAGTGAAATCATCTATTTTCTGTCTCTTGTATCTCGTCTCTAGCTAAGAAATTGCCCAAGAGTGAACCTCAAAACATGGGAGGTACAGCAGGCCGAAGCCGAGGTGTGGATCTCCATGAGCAGTCACAGCAGAACAAGAGCCAGTGTTGTAGCAACTGATGGGGTGGCTGGCAGCAAATGAGTGTGGAGCAAGCACGAGAGCTAAGACATAACTTCAGTCCCCACCCCTCAGCACACAGCCCCTTCGATAACAGCACACTGAGCCCTGGCTCCCAAAGGCCACCTCCCAACAGCTCCGTCATGGCACTTGTTAATGCTTCAGCAACCAACAACAACAGGCAGCTGTTGCCACCGGCCTCCCACCCTCTGCCCTGGGGCTTAAGGGGGGTGGTTAGCTCCCCCTGGAACTTACCTTCCAAAACAAACTCTCTTCACTTTGTATTATAGGTGCAAGACAATAACCTACTTATCTGTCTTTCTCTTCCCATCCTTCGTCCCCATGTCTTCAGATAACATTTTTGTCACTTGCTCCTTCTGCTTTCCATCAATAACTGGTTTTGGTCCCTTTCCCCACCTTGATGTTCCCCTCTTCCCAGGGTTGGAGAGGTGAACTTGAGATATGAGAAGGGGTTAACAGCACATCCACATTGGTAACCTGGGGGGGGGGTGGGAGGGAATAAGGGTCTGGCAGGAAAATAGCTCCTTTTTTCTCATTATATAATGGTTGTTTCCCACATTCGAAGAAAGCTGCAGTGTCCATGATCCTCTTCTTCTACCCCTGGGTGGTTGGATGGGAAACTTCTGGGCAAAGGTGAAAATAGGAGAAAAGTGTGCAGGGTCATGCTGAGTTAGTTAACCTGGGCAGAGGAAGAGGCTTAGGGCTCCATGGGAACTCTGTAGTACTTTCTCTGCCTTTATTTTCCCTTGGCCTTTGGGGGCTCTTCCCCCATGGTGATTCAGCCCCAGGGTCTTCCAAAGAACCGTTATTGGGTGCCTTTTTCTTGGCTCTGCTGTGGTCTAGTTGGAGGAGGGACCAGTCTCTGATACCCATCCTCTGATTGATATACATATAGAATTGTTTTCCTCATTGGCCTCAGCCCCATCACCTGTTCTGTCTCAACCCTGGACATGGCCTATCACTGCAGTTTGCACTTTAGTTGATGGTTGGTTTATTTGGGATGCTTATTTTATGGGGTTTTTAACGCACACACCTTCCTTTTTTAACTACGTGGAAAGTGAGGTGTATACGAGGTCTGTGGGGTGGGTGAGAAAGGGCAGTGGCAGCTACCCAAGCCAAACCCTCTCTCCTCCTTGACCCTACCCCCAAACTTTGATTCCTCTCCACCTTACCCACTCCTCAAACCTTCACTATGCTTGAGACCTTAACACTCTGAAGACCTGGTGGGGAGACTGAGATTGAAGAGTGTTCAGGGAAGCACAGGCCAAGGTAGAGATTAAGGCATGTCCTAGGCAAGAGGCAGGAGTATGGGGAGAGGGGAGGACAACTACCTTTCCCTCAAATGGGAGTCACTCATTTTGATGCCCTATCCCTGTTATCTTTTCTACTTCCCTGTAAATAGGTATGATGATCTCTTTCCCCATTGTACAGTCTGTCATGCCCTTTGGCTTCCCTACAGGCCCCAGTCACACCCTATTTTTTCTGTCAGGATCCCTAGCCTTTTCTACCCCTACTCCTTTGACTTATTCTTCAACATCCCACTCCTGAGGGAGAATGACAACTCATATTCCTAGGAGCCATGGCCCCCATATCCTGCTCTTTTGTCACCACTCCCTCCATGGGACCATGGGAGCGTAAGCCACAAAGTCCTAGTTGTAGTCCCACAGACCATACTGGCTGCTCTTCTGGCCAGTGAAGTAGCTAGTTTCAAGAGTTCCTTCACAAAAGTGTTACTCTGTTAAGAGGGATTAAAACACTTGCTGCATCCAGAGTATAGATCTCTGATGTAAAGGTTAGGTGGAAAAGGGCATGGGTTTAGAGTATTTGGGGAAAATTGTCAAGGGAGCAAATTCCAGGAGGAAGTAGAAGATTACTCTTGCTCCAGGTTTCCTCTTGTTCATCATTAGGAATGTGATCTAATATTTAGGAGAAAGCTATTCAGGACCATGGCTGACTTCTGAGCCCCAGGGTTTAAGAGTCCTACCTGTTTTCCTGGCCCACAGACACTTGAACTGCCTTACCTGTCTCAAACATACCAAAAAAAAAAAAAGCTATGAAATTTGTAACCGTAAGACCTTGTCGCATTCATCTTAAGACCTTCAGCTGAGCTCTCAGTGGCATCCTTAATTCCCCGGGGGCCTGGCAGATTCTTTTTCCTTCTCTTAAGGTTGCCATCAAGTCGTCAAACACCCAAACACTCTGCATTCTTCAAAGAAGCTGGGGAACTAGAAGGGATCTCTAGGTCTCTGCATATTTGTGTGTCTATCCCTTGGAGTGAAGGTATATCTTTGTCTTGGGATTGGAGTCTTTTCCCCAGAAGATTCTCTTTACTCCCCCCGCCACCACCACCACACACACATACACACTTAAGGAACAAGATTGGCCTTAGCTTCTTTGGCTTGTCTACTGCCTTCCTTCCCTTTTCTGCTTGCCTCTGGGCTCAGTGAGACTGTAGCTTCACTGGACTCTGGGAGTTTTTTAATTTTTTCTGCCTTTTTTTTTTCCCAATCAATTGTTTTTATGGGGTTTTTTTGAAACTTTTTTTTTTGCTTCTAGAAACCATTTGTCTTTTCTCCCTTTCCCTTCTCTAAATATAACAATCGTGGTAACAGAATGCACCTGCTGATTTACCAATGTATTTAATGTAAGTAAAAAAGAAAAGAGGGGAAAAAAAGAGGAAAAAAGTGTATTAGTGTTTCTTTCCTGCTGTTTTTCTAGCTGAAGCTAGATGTTGGGAAAGGAGGGGGCAGCTACATTGAATCAAAACGTCTAGTTTGATGCCATTTTCCATCTCAGAACACTGAAGGAGGCTTCAGGAGGGGCCAAAGTTACTGTTTTGGGTTTTTTGGGGTTTTTTTTGGTAGGATCTTCTGTTTCTAAAAGAGCAAATCACTTCTAAAGGTTATCAGATCCCTTTGGAGTTTCTCCAATACTCTTCTAACCTTTTTTTGTGTCATGGCCCCCTTTGGCAGTCTGGTGAAAGCTATAGCCCCCTTCTCAGACAATCTTTTTAAAAATGCATAATCAAGCGAAATGCTAAATTTCAGTTAAAATTTGGTGAAAATAAAGTTGTCAAAATTTTCCTATCCAAGTTCATGGACCCCTTGTGAGACCTAAGTCTCCTCTGATATTTATCATCTTTCCCTCTTGTTATATTGCCATTTCCTACACCAGAGGAAAAGAGAATGGAAGACAGGATGTCTACGTGCCCACAGCATAGGAAGTGGAAGAGCAGGAGTCCCTTTTTCTCCCTATGCTGAGGTGTCAGACTTGGTTTAATTAGTATGCCAGTAAGACAGGTGGGGAGCAGGCCTCCTGGACCACTAGTTTGTGCCCAAGTCTATAGAGTTTGATACTACTTCAGAGCTTTTTATTGTACTCTCTCACTTGGTTTACTGCACCTTTGATACTGCAATCAGTACTGTCAGGACCCCCTTCACATTACTATCCATCTCCTTGTTCTCTTCACTAGTCAGGCTTTTTCTGTTACTAGAGAGGAGGGGAGCATGATTGAAGCAGTCTGGCTGTAGTGTAGTAGGGTCATCCTGTCACTGGGGGGCGGTGTGGGAATGTCAAAACACAAGACCCCCAACTTAAGGGTACCCCGTAGATTTCATTTCTACTCACTCCTGCCAGGACCTGGGGATATGAGAATCATATTTTAACCTCGATTCCATAGCCTCAAGGGGCAAATGGTCACGGAAGGGAGACGTCACCGGTAAGAAAGCAAAAGCTGGAGTATACCACTTTTTAAAAAGACATGTTTTGAAGTTGCAGGTGAGAGAACTTGAGCATCACTCGCTCAATTCGACACACACTGTGCCCAAGGGCAAGGTACAGAGCTAAATACTGGAGATTAAAGGCAAAAATCAAATCCCGTTTAAATGCTACTTCAATGTCGGGGTCATGCAGGAGAAGCAAAGTATTGCTCTCCGGATGGATTTCGGTATTTCAACTTGTTTCTCTCTGGCTCTTGGGTTTGGGGTATCTAGAGAGAGACTAGCTGCCGAAATCACCTGGAGGCATAGGTATGACCATTCCACTGACCTTAAATCTCCGTAGCTTCCTGTAGCCTTGTTTTAGTTACCCCACTGCCCTTTAACACTTCTACCTAAACAGGACATACATCTTTCTGTGGATTTTCCCAGAATGCAACCCCTTCGTCCTGCCTTTAAGAAACTTCCGTCAAGCCTTAGACTTCACTTCCTTCCCTGGAACCCTCAGCTCAAAGTGCTCTCATCCTCGTGTTTTCCTAGGACACTCAAGGTCTTTTGCCTCCATCACTCTCTACCCCTTATTATATATGTGTATTGATACTTATGATGTATCAAGAGAACGTAGGAAGGCCCGTAGACATATTTCGTGGACTCCCCTGTGGCGGATTTATGGGAGAATCTGAAGGAGAGTCATAATGGTTGGGTAGCCAGCAGTATTTTTGGAGGAAATAACCCACATCAGTGGGTTCACAGATCGATTAGTCTTGGAGCTCACAATATCCTTTCCAATAGAATGTAAGCTTCTGGGAGGCAGGGACCTTGTTTTTCTTTTCTTTGTGCTCAGCGCCAAGCACAATACTTTGCACTTGGTAGAAGCTTAATAAATATTTCTTGAACGTTGACTACTGATTAGAGTTACTGGCGGGTGTCGTCCTCAATCAGCTTACCCCTCGATATACCATTGAGGTCCCTTCTATCTTTCCCTTCTCAGGTTCCTGGTAGATGGGTCTCCATCCCCCTGGTCTGTTCATTTCCCCAAACCTGCTGGATCTCTAAGACTGAAGCATTAACTCAGGGAACCAGCAGAAGATGAGCACCCGAATTCCCAGCCTTCAGTTATTTACCCGTCCCCTACTACTCGAAAGCTAGCTAAACAAGTAAACTAGGGTGAGAATACCTTTCTGTGGGATTCCTCATCCCGTCAATAGTTGGGGGATAATTGGAGGAGTGAGAGTGGTCCTTTAAATCCCGCCCTGACGTCACCACCTGGAGTCCCCGCCCTTTCCACTAAAGATTCGGACTAAGACCTGAAGAAGCGCCGCTGCTGCCAGAACGCTGCTCCGGGTAGGAGACGGGAGGGAAAAAGGAAGACGGAATAAAGGGGGAACGGGGTGTGTCTGAGAGCACCTCTAGGGGTTGGGGGTGGGATGGGAAGGACATGCCTACGTCATGGGGTGGGGGTGGGGTGCAGGGTATTGCTCTAAAATCCTTTTCTCTTCCTCCCCGCCATATCTGGCATGGGCCTGGGCAGCTGACCCCCCCATTGTGAGTACCACCTCCTGGTCCCGGCTCCGCCCCCCCACTCCAGAGGAAATGGATTGTACGTTACCCCCACTGGCGGGATGATGCCCATTAGAAGGCCGCCTCGGCCAAACCAGAGCAGAAGGGCATTGGCAGGGCTCACCTTAGAAAAAGTAGTTCTTTGTCCCAAAGGGCCCAGTGTGCGATGTGAAGGTGGTGGGAGTCCGATGCTAAACAGTAGAGTTCAGTTCCCCCTTTTTCCAAGGTCACAGATCTTCCCGACTGATTCCTCTTCCTTGGCATCCCCTGGTTACTGTCTCTGCCTTCTTACTTAGACTGACTCCCTCAGTTGTTTAAACCCCAACTGTCCTTCAACAGGCATGAAACACCCTTCGCGGGCCCAGATTTTTCTAGTGTCTTGCTTTCCCTCCATTACTTTGCTTCTAACTAAAGGGCTAGGAGACAGAAAGCTGTTGGAGTGACAATTGTGAAGTTCCCTTTTTCTTTACCTTAGAGAAGAATTCAGCCCGTTCAGCGACAGGTGGGATAATAACCCCTCAGTTTGCTGAGCTCAGGAATGGCAAGAGAATGGCTAGGATAGGAGTGGGGACCCAGGCATATTGATTGTCAGATGTTTTTTATGAAGAATGAGGGATCTGCTCTACCTCATTTCTCCCTGTTTTAGCTTGCTCCCTAACTAAAACAAAACAAAACTTGCTTTTTGGTTATCGCATGAGTGTATAATATAGATACTAGACTAGGCGTCATTCTCATCGATTGAGGGAAAGAGGGAAAAAGAGGACAATTGCTTTTAGGAAATCCATCACATTTATTCCTATATTGTCTTTGTACCTGACAGTCTCCTTTAGTCCATTCTGTCCCCGTGAAGGACTGAGGTTGGGATTCTATCAGTTACCTCTTTTTCCTAATGAAGTTGGCAGTAGTCCCTTTCATCATTCCTCTATCTCTTAAGTCTCACTTCTGAAGGCCTCCCCTCCCTTTGCTCCATGGTGATTACTTTTTTTTTTCTCGCTTTTTCCTAGAATCTTGGTGTCTATAATGCTGTTGCTACAAAGAATTGCTGTTTCTGGCCTTAGAAATTCTAGGTTTGACAGGTATGCCTTATCCCAGAACAGTTTCTTACTTCTATATCTCCTCTGTTTCAGTATTTTATGATTTGTTATCTTATCTTATCTCCTTGGGGTAGTTAACTGCCTTTAATAGCTAGGAAGGATTATAGGTAGGGAAGGTGGATCCTGGGAAAGAACAAATTCTAGCTAAGGAAATGAAAAGACCCAGGTATTTAGCTTCCTTTATGGCTTAGCCTGGGACATCTTACTCCTTCATCCTTAAAGAGGTATGGATAGCATCAACCTGATGCTATCCAAAACCCTTGCATGTAGCTCCTTCTGGGATGAAGTGTGGTAGGGAGTATCACTGATTCTTTCTCCTCTTTATAGGTTGATTGTCCCAAAGCTGTATCCCCATGTCTGCTTTACCAGTGATCCCTCTCATCTCCAAAGCCCCAAACCTCACTTTTCTAATGGCAGCACCTCTTCTGGACACTGGGCAGTAGCAGGGGCACTGCTGGGCGTTGGGGCTGTACTGGCCTATGGAAACCATAGAGAAAAGGTAGAGTGGAAATTTGGTGACTAAGTTGACTGGGTTGCAAGGCAGTAATAAATGTTTGTTGAATTAAATAATAGCTAGCTAGCATTTATATAGTGCTCTTAAGCTTGCATAATGCTTTACAAATATTATCTCATGGGGCAGCTAGGTGGTGCAGTGGATAGAGCACTGGTCCTGAAGTCAGGAGGACCTGAGTTCAAATCCGGCCTCAGAGCAAAGACTTGACTCTAGCTGTGTGACCCTGGGCAAGTCACTTAACCCTAACTGCCTAAAAAAAGGGAAAAAAAAACAAATATTATCTCATTTGACCTTCACAACTATCCTGGGATGTAGATGCTATTATTAAGATCCTCATTTTACAGAAGAAGAAACTGAGGCAGACAATGACTTGCCCAGGATCACACAGTGAGTTAAGTATAGGAAGCCAGATTTAAACTCAATTCTTCCTTACTCCAGATCCAGCACTCTATTCACTGTGCCACCTTGCAACCACATTGAAGAGAAGGAATTGCTGTTGGGCTAATTATGACATATTTGTATATGGCTTTAAAGATTACAAAATATTTGCTCAGGGCAACCCTGCAAGATAAGTAGTACAAGAGTTATCTCCATTTTATAGCTGACAAAATTGGGGCTTGTAGAGAGTAAATGACTTATCCAGTAACACACAGATAGTATGCCAGGATTTGAAACCCTAACCCCAGTCTTATGACTCCCAGGTTCTCTGGTACCATATACTATGTGGACTGGGCTGGGTGAAACAAAAAGGTTGATAGCACCCTCCCATGATTTTTTCCTTCTGTCTCCTCTCCTCCATCCCCCACAGGCTGCCAAAGATTCACTACCTGTATACACAAAGGCAGAAGTGAGGCGTCATGGAAGTCTTGAGACACGGGTCTGGGTAACTTTGGGCCATGAGGTCTTTGATGTCACAGACTTTGTAGCCATACACCCAGGTGGACCATCTAAATTATTGCTTGCTGCAGGGGGACCACTGGAGCCTTTCTGGGCTCTCTATGCAGCACACAACCAGCCACATGTTCGTGAGCTCCTAGCTGAATATAAGATTGGGGAGCTAAGCCCTGATGAGGAAAGATCTTCTGACCAAGTTTGCACTGATCCTTATGCCAGTGACCCTCCCAGACACCCTGCTTTGCAGATCAACAGCCAGAAGCCTTTTAATGCAGAACCACCCCTTGAGCTCTTGGGTGAGAGCTACATCACACCCAATCCTCTCTTTTTCACACGAAATCACCTGCCTGTACCCACCATAGACCCTGCCACATACCATCTGCAAGTGGAAGGGCCCCCAGGTGGTCAGACACTGAGCCTGTCTCTAGATGATCTCCGTCGCTTCCCCAAGCACCAGGTCACAGTCACCCTGCAGTGTGCTGGGAACCGTCGAAGTGAGATGGCCCAAGTTAAATCTGTAAAAGGGTTAAACTGGGGGGCAGGAGCCATTAGCACAGCCCAGTGGGGTGGTGCCCGGCTCCGAGATGTTTTGATCCAGGCTGGCCATTCACCCTCTGGCTCTGAAACCCATGTATGTTTTGAAGGGCTGGACTATGACCCCACAGGGACAGCCTATGGAGCCTCCATTCCCCTGGCTCGGGCCATGGATCCTGAAGGCGATGTTTTGCTGGCTTATGAGATGAATGGGCAGCCACTGCCCCCTGACCATGGTTTCCCAGTAAGGGTGGTGGTGCCTGGTGTAGTGGGTGCCCGACATGTCAAGTGGCTGGGAAAGGTAAGCATCAGCCCTGAGGAAAGTCCTAGCCATTGGCAACGTCGTGATTACAAAGGCTTCTGTCCCTCAGTAGATTGGGACAAAGTGGACTTTGACTCTGCTCCAGCCATTCAGGAGCTCCCTGTCCAGTCAGCCATCACAGAGCCCAGGGAAGGGCAAACAATAGAGCCTGGGGAGTTGACTGTGAAGGGCTATGCTTGGAGTGGGGGCGGCAGGGCTATAATCAGGGTGGATGTATCTCTGGATGGTGGCCTGACCTGGCAAGAGGCAAAGCTGGAAGGGGAGGCACAGGCACCAAGGAGAGCCTGGGCATGGCGACTGTGGCAGCTGACAGCACCAGTACCTACTGACTGGAAGGAACTGAACATTATATGTAAGGCTGTGGATGATGGATACAATGTGCAGCCTGACACTGTGACCCCTATCTGGAACCTTCGAGGTGTGCTCACTAATGCTTGGCACCGTGTCCATGTTCAGGTAGCCCCATAAAAAACAATTACTGCAGCCTTGACACCTTTAAACCACCCTTCTCAATCTCTTACCCTTCCAAACTATTTCTGGCTTGAATTCTTCCCTTTTCCATAGACATTCAAAAACTCCTCTATCCTCTGGTTTTCTCTCCTTCTCAGACTCTATCCCTGGGATAGCCCCACCCCTTCCCCCTTCCACAAATATATATATATCCCCTTCCCTAACCACCTCCAGGCATACATACTTCCATTCATGCCTTCCTCCTAACTTCAAGGACTGGTACTGATGATTTTCTCTAAATTAATTCCATTGTGATATCTACCTCATACTATGTGGTCCTTCAGACTCTTCTCTGAGATTGAGTTGGAAGCTGTCTGGACAGAAATTGGAACTGGATGGAAGTATCAATCAGTGTAATAACACCTGCTACCACCTCTTCTCTCTCCAGCCTTTTAATTTCCCTGTCACCTCTGTTGCCTTCCATTTATATGCATAATGTTGATGTTTATTACCTGTCCCCAGCTCCCAGGGCAG